GAGGTACTAGGCTCCGCCGCGCCCCGCGGGGCTCATAACCTGACAAAGGACTGACGCGAGTATAGCTAGGATGTCTATGAAAGCGCAGACTCACCGGGCAGTTAGTTTGAAGGCTGAGTAGTAGCGGGTTAGGCTGATAGCTGACGATGGTAGTCGTTCGGTGGAGAGAGAAGACTTAGATGATATTCATGGTAGCGACTGTATATATATGACAGGAGCGTGTGAAGTCACTACCGTATTCGTAACTACTGTGCAGTCCAAGTCCCGCGGTAATGCAGGACGGCTACGTAAGCAGAACGTGGCCCTATGCGATGAACACGGAGCCACACGAGTGCGTAAGCGCTTAAGGTACCGCTGGGATACTAAGCGCCTGAATGGACGTATGAAGGCGATGTTTACTTGTAGACCTCTAGGAGGAACATCGCCGTACAGGAGGCTTCTGGATGAACCAATAAAGCCGTAAAGGGTCGAATACTAGACGTAAATCTGACACCATGGATACCTTTTAGCTTTGATTTCGCTTATGATTTTATTGACGTATTTGTAGTCAACCTTCGGCCTTCTCCACTGACCCGGGCAGCCCACTGTTGCATCTTTGGGTCTGCGGGTCAGCTATGTCATGTTCAAGATGCATCTTCAGGGATATCCCAAACAAAACAGGTCAGACAGTACCATTGATGCTGAATTACGCAGGCACTCTTAATACAAGGACTGTTAAAGGCGAGTTTCTCTTGTAAGCAGCACTTTTGCACCTGATGCACATTCATTGTGCTCGGGACCACAGTCGTGATATTAGTATACTTCTACTACAAATTCATTATAGATTTTGTTGTCCTTGTTATGGGGTTCGAACTGGTCTACGGACCGAAACTAGGTTCGGGGAACTGCCTATCCCTGGAAACCAACTCGGACGGAACCGAGGGCATCCTTGGTTCGGTTCACGGTTCCAAACCGTTGGCCGCCCGAACCGCGGCAACACTACCGATACCACAACAGAGCAAAGTATTTTGCTAACCAGATGAAGGAAAATATTCAAGGTGCTAAAACACGTACATTTGTCTGTGAAGTCTGGGTTAGAGACTGGGACCTCTGGGGGAATGTGTCGAAGGCAAGTGCAGGTCGAGGTTCTTTCAGGAACAATTTAACATCGTATTTTAGATATGGTTCCCTGAGGATGTCAACCGCATGTCAGACGATGAAAACTGGGATATCGCTTCCGTAGCGTCGGGGCAAGAAGACCGCAATTCCCGGGTTGCAGATATGAACGTGCAAGCACCGTATGTGCTGTTCTGTAGGCATCACTGGATGGAGGGCATGCCGATCCCTGATGGCCAACGATTCAACGAGATGGTGATCTACCGACAAGTCCAAGACGCACTCTTGCTCACCTTCAAACTCAGCGAGAACGCTTTAGAAAGGAAGATAAAAGGTGGATATCTCTCTTATGATGAACAGATCAAGCCTTGGGGCATTGTAGTTCCAAATGACACGGTGAAAGATTTTGAAGAGCACGGAGAGGCGTCTTTGCTTATGTAGTTCGGATTCGGGTGCTCGGTTGACGAACATCCATCGTAGTTTTACATGTAGAGTACTATACGTTTTGGGGTGGATTACTTTTTGAAGGAAAGTCATAAATCAAGCAGGATCCCGTGTCACCTTCAACGTCACCGGCTTCCCGTTCTCTCCAAGAATCATCCGCGCTGGCAAACTTCGCCCGCGCAGAATTGTGACCTTCTGCGCGTTTCCACCGTCGATCTCGAACGAGAAGTGTCGTGCCAGGACCGACAAAACCGTCTGCAAAGCGCACCACATTAGCTTTTCCTCCTCGTCTACCAGAACTAAGAGCAAAAAAGCGAGCCTTAAACTCGGCAATCGCAAACCCCTTCCCGATACACGTCCTCGGTCCATTCGCGAACGTTATCAGATGCCTGTGCCCCACAAGTTCCTCCGCCGGCCCGGACTCGGCTGCGCCATCGAGCCACCTCTCAGGGCGGAAGGACGCCGCGTCGGGGCCCCAGAAGCGCGGGGAGCGGTTTATGGCTGCGATCGGAACTGCGACGAGCGTGCCGCGGGGAACGGGGACTTGTGAGATAGGGGCACCGGACGCGGAGACGACGGGGGAGGAGAGAGGGATGAGGTCGTCTTGGATGGCCTGATAATATGGGGGCAGCTGTGGTTAGGAGGAGAGCTCGAAGGGTGGAGGAAGGAAGACTTGCAACTCGTTCGACCTCAGTCGCGGCTGGGTGTAGACGTAGGGTCTCGTGCGTGACGGCATCGAGGTAAGGAAGGATGCTGTTGTTCATTAACTCGTCGTACGAAAGCTGGTCGCCATCGTACTGTGCGAGCTCGTCGCGGAGCTTTTTCTGAGCGTCCGGGTTTCGAGCTAGCTCTACGAGGGCCCACGTGAGGGTTGCTGTGGTAGCAAAGTCAGTGATCTTAGCGAACGTGGTATGTCAAGCATGAGACAAAATGCGCACTCGAGGTGGTGATGTAGCCTGCTAAGACTAGGACTGTGATCTACCGTTCGATCAGGCGATAAGCTACGAAGGAACTGAGAGGACATGAAGACATACACACCTCGTCGAGCACCTCCTCTCTCGATAGCTGCAACCCCGATTCAGACCCCTTCGCACGCACTATATATTGTCATTAGTTTACGCACCAAAACCCACGGAAAACAAGCTCAACTCACTCAACCTGCTCATAACTGACGTTTCCCCCATCCCATCGCTTACCTCCCCTTTCCTCGCCCTCGCCCACACTTCATCCGCTATGCCCTTCAGCGACTCGCCCAACCGCCTCGCCTGCTTCTTCCTTTGACCGGGCAGCTTGTCTAGCCATGGAAAGAACAGCAATAGTGTCGGAAGCATGTTGAGGAACGACGTCGAAGCGTCGTCAGCATCGAACATCTTCGCGACGATGGGCTGCTCGCCCTCGAACGCGCGAAAATCGTGCGAGAAGCCGCCTTGGCCGATGGAGTCGATTCTGCGGTTGGTTTAGGGCGCTGGGTCCGAATGAGAAAAGAAACAAATTGAGACGTACGAGATTTTGTTCATCCTGAAGTGCAACTATTATCAGCCCAATGCCGACGGTAACAGATGGAGCGGAAAATAGTTACCATGTCTGAATTTCGATTGCAGCTCCGTTATCCTTCGTCAGGATGTCCCAAGTATTCTTACACTATCGCAAAGGCGGATTAAAACGATAGCTAGTTGTAATCGACATGGACTGCTTACCTTGTGTGCGCAGTTGGAGAAGAAAGGGTGGAATGAGCGCATAGCGGCATTGCTGAACGCTGGCATAAGCACCTTTCGTTGGCTACGTTCCTGATCAGAGTTTCTAATTCAACATAGTATGTAGAACTGCTCACCGCTTATGCACGTCGCCCTCAGCCACCAAAATCCCTTCCCAGTCAAATCCCTCAAAATGTTCCTCTGATAATCGCTACGAACGTAGACCGTGTTATCCATCGCGAAAAATTGATCGACTGCTTTCGGATCGAGAAGCATGATCCTGTCCATGCCGAGTGTGTACGGAATGCGGTACACAGATCCGTATTCTGCCTCCCATCGTGCATAGTGTTCGGTGGCTTGCTCCGATAATGGGAGTTTCTGCGAGACGCCCCAGATAAACGAGTCCGAGGGTGGGCCGCGCAGACGCGTAGAGGCGCTTTGAGTACGGCGGATGGACGAGAAGATACTTCCGACAATGAGAACGGAGGCACAGGTGGCAGCAAGGAGCTGAAAGTTGGGTGCGTCGAGGGACGGAGCGAGTTAATAGAGGCCAGGGAAACTGATGAGGGGAGAAAGTTGTGGGTCAGACATGGGGTATATTGCAGTGGGATGATAAGCAGCAGAACTGAAGCATACAGGTTTTATACTGAAAGAGAGCTATGGAGACTGGGTCAGCATGTATGATACACAGCGGGTGATTCTGCGGAAGTTTCTTCTGTTTTACATTGCCGTTTTTACGACTTCCAGGTGTTCTCCCTATATAAAGCAAGCCGTGACATCATGTTGGACGACCTGAGTCCAGAAGCGAGTGACCATCTAGCGAGCATTACGCCGTCGGCCGAGATCTCTACGTCTTCGCGCTATTTAGCGAGCAGCAGCGGAGCTATTGTTGCCCTGAGAATATCGCATAGAGGCTGCTGCACCAGAGATAGTCAGAGTGTCGGCCGAAACTAGAGGGTTCGTCTAAGCGTAAGCGTTGCCCACGAAAGGTTTTCGTGGATGACGAATCTCTTCCCGTGAGACGTTGTATATCAGCTCCAATTGCAAGTTCTTCCCGTGGTGGAGCATCGGTTTGTGTTGGAATATCAGTGACCATCTGAGTTCACCATGCAGATATATCCTGATTTTTGTCGCTGGAGTCTGGAGATAGGATGGCGATGTGACTGGTGGATTGTAAAGGCGTAAGCGTGGGCGACAGGGGCTCGAAAACATTTCTCGGCCAGCGCCGAAATTTATGCCTCCGCGCGACGCGTTTCTTTTGCGCACCTCCTTGTCCCCATATGCGATGGCCTGTCGATGTTCAAACTCTTCAAGAGGCCTTTGACGAGTCGTACACCGAACGTTACTCTTCAATCTTGTCAAACTTTCTGTTCATCTTGTGTTCTTCTATCTCGTAAACGCCATGTCGTCAAAGAAGAGGAAGTGACCGCCCCACAAAGCGTCGAACGGCAACGCGCCGACACGCTGCTTCGTCAAGCCGACCTACGATTCGTATCGCACAAGTCTCCCAAATCTGCCCAGACGGACCTTTACGACTTTTTCACGCACCAAATCACGCTCACCAAGTACTTCGGTCCCTACCGGCGCCTCTTGCTCTTGCGCATAATCGAATACTGCCTCGGACGCAGGTTATGGTCCCTGGCGCGCGCGATGCATATTCGCATGATCGGCGAAGGCTTCATTCCTCCACCTCCTTTACGCGTAAAGATGCGGTTATTCGAGGCTGTCTCACGCGCGAGGCGCAAAGAGGAAGAAGTGGAGGCGTTGAAAGAGGTGGAAGATGTGTTAAGGGAGGAAAAGGAGGAGACATTCGGTATGAAGGGCTTTCTCCAACTCGTGGACTATGCGAGCTCGGTCCATGCGTCGCGCTCGCAAGCCTTCGTGCTCAAGCTCGCGGACGCGTTTGCGCATGCGAGAGAGCTGACTTCGCATACTCAGTCCAAGCTCGCAGCCGACCTCGTTCGTATCGTCATGCCCACTTCCACGACGTCGCTTTTGCCCTCTCTATCCTCAACTTTTCAGGCAGAAGAGGATAGCGACGACATCGACATTTCACTTGACACTGCCATTCCAACCTCAAGCCCCGAAGACGTCTCATCTCTCCTCCTCCCCTGGCTCGAACGTGCCGAAGCCGCACACACAGTCGACAACAGTCACCTCTCATCATCCGTATCATCCATTCCAAGCGCAGCCCCGTACGCAGCTCTCCTTGACGCGCTCGTCGGCACACCCATATGCTCAGAAGCCGGCCGTGCGATCTTGCGACGCATGACAGACAAAGGTGTCCCGCCCAACGCTGCCGTGTTCAATGCCCTCATCCGAGGTCGGATCGCTCAGGGCGAATATGACGCTGCGTATGCGCTTTATGAGGCGTTCGTGCAGGTTGCGGAGCAAGGGCGGGCACGGGCGAGAGCAGAAGCGGAGGAACGAGCAGGGACGGCAACGGCCACAACGACCAGTACAGCGAGGACCGCACGACCGAACACGGAGACGTACAAGATGATGTTCAAGGTGGCAGAGGAGCAAGAATGGCGCAAACGCGCGTCCAGGCAGCAGCAGCGAAGACGCAGGGGCACCGTCACACATCGAGAGCTCTTCAACGACATGCTGCGTCTCCGGGTTGACGCCTTCTCCCTCCAACCGCGCACCTTCGCAGCACGCATGCGCCGCCGATCGCGGCTCAACCAAGACCCATTGTCGAAGATCACCCCAGCGCAGCTGACGCCGTCTGTCGCACACGCTATCCTGCGTGTGTTCCTCTCTTTGGAGGACTATGCGGCCGCATACAACCTCGTTTCCATGCTACCGAAGTTCGGCGTGTGCGTCGTGAGCGACACGTACATGCTCGTTCTGCGCGCTGTTCTCATGCGCGTCGCACGCGAGGCGAAGGTCAAGAATAAGAACCGGGATAAGTGGAGCTTCAACGCGTTTCTTATGGCGTTTTCGCCGTCTTCCTCTGTTGGAGTCGGGACGGGTGAAGGCCCCTGGGAGGTAATACGGCGAGGCCAGCCGCCAACCTTGCCGAGGAAGGGCGCGGGAGAGTATATCGTGCGGAGGCTGCTGGATCTCGCGAAGGGCGGAGAGGAGGAGGCGAGGGTACCGACGCTCGCGCAGGTCACCGCTTCTTCTTCCTCTTCTTCTTCCACGCCCTCGTCCTTGTCCGCCTCCACTTCTACGTCAAATTCCAACCCCGATCCCCCCGCTCGCCCACCGCGCCGTACCAAAATCCCACTCCCACATACAACACCAGCACCGGCATTCGTCCCACCGCCCGAAACCTTCCCCGCCCGCCCGCTCGCGCGCCTGCTCCTGCTCCTGCTCCGCGCCGGGCTGTTCCGCAAAGCCCCCGCGCGCAGCGAGGACTGGGACTGGCGTGCGGCGGAGCGCGGCGTGCTCGGTGAGGCGTGGGCGCAGATGGTCCCTCCGGAGTGCATGTGGTACGAGTCGCTGCATCCGCTTCGAGATCCTCCTCCGGCGCAGGAGCAAGGCGCGGACGAGACGCTCGCACAGCCCACACGACAGACGAGGCAGACGGGGAAGAAGGCACAGCTCAGTCCTCGGGAGCATAGAGTACGGCTGTGGTGGTCGCGCCGAGTTGTGCAGCTGAGAGCGCTGGGGGTGGCGCATCGGCGGAAACGTAGGGTGAGTTCTAGCACTCCTGTTTTGCGTGTCTTTTCTTGTTTGCTAAATACTGCTTTTACGTCGCTCAGCGTCGCGCTCTCCTCGCTAGCGCTCTCAAAGAGGCCATGGCCAAGAAGGGCGGCGGGGGCACGAAAAAGGGTGGGGACAAGGAGCCAAGGCGGGCCGATGTGCCCGTGGAGCGTGGGCCGGGGTATCAGAGGTTTAGGATACGGTCTCCTGGGGCTTGAAGATGGATGGGCGTTTTGACGTTTTACGCTACACTTTGCCGAGTATACTACAGTAATTACGTAATAGTATTGTTGCCACCGCTCAGATCGAAGCTTGCATTACATTCGCTGGCTTCTACGAACTTCGCTTTCAATCATCACAGCTCATGTTTCCAGAGAGAACAAAGCATTATATGCATCGGAGAACACCACGTATGGCGAGGCTACTAAGAAAGCTCTGCTTTTTCGTTACCATATTTGCACTCCGGCGGCGTCCCATTGAGACATTGAGGTAAAATCTGCTCTTCTTTCCTGCGGTTCATAAGGTCAATAACTGCCAAGTCAACTAACAAACCAACCACACCTTGGAACCGACAAATGGAACAGAACGCCTCACAGCGACAGTGTAGCGTTCCTCCAAAAACTGGATGACAACCTTCGCCGTCGGCCTCTCGCTCGGCTCACTCCTCCAGCACCGCGTGATCATGTCCCACAGCGCATCATCCAGCTGCGCCGCACCTGGTCCCGCCACGGGGCGGCCCGGCAAGGTCCCGTTGCTGATGGCGTTCACGAGGGAAAACGGCGACCACCCTGCGAACGGCGGGTCGCCCGAGAACAGCTGGTCGTAATAGCGCAAGCGGAGAAGTTGAATCAGCTTTTGAGCTACTCCCGAACGGCCATAAAGAACATGGGGCGGTTACCTCGTAGCACAGCCCGCCGAAGGCGTACATGTCGCTCTGCGGTGTGTGCCGGCTGTGGCCCGGGGCGCCTTCTAGAAGCTCGGGCGCGGCGAACGCGAACGTGCGTCCGACGGCGGTGGATGATGCGTTGAAGTTGGTGCGCGCGTCGTCTTTGATGCCGATGGTGCCGAAGTCGGCGATGCATGCGGCTCCGTCGTCGGTGATGAGTACGTTCGCCTGTATCGGATGTGAGTCAGAATTGATATGGACAATATTTAAGCGGGATGAAGGAAAGACGACATACGCCCTTGATGTCACCGTGGATTATAGTGGGAATGAAGGTATGCAGGTAATGTAATCCTTTCGCAACATCCAATATCTTACCGAGTATTCTCGTTAGCGGGTGGATGAGACTTCAGAGAAAGAACAAACATACCAAACGCACACGGTCAACATCAGGATTTCTTTCCAAATAATCCATGACACTCCCATTTTCCATGAAGGGCGTAACGACATGAATCTCGGTCCCGTTGTACACCGCTCCAAGGAACGGCAAAACATTGGGGTGACGAAGATATCGCCATATCGCAGCTTCACGGCACATGATCTGCAGAACGCCTTGTTAGAAACGAAAGCAAGCGTGAAGAAGACACCAGGGCAAAATAAACGCGACCTTCAACGCCGATTCCCTCTTGTTCCGTGGAATGTTATGCGGTACCTTGAGCGCCACGCGCGTATCGCCCAACCGCGCATCGTAGACGACTCCATATCCTCCATGCCCGACCTCGTCGCCTCGCTTGAGATCACCGAGAAGAGATCGGCGTGGGAGGCGCTTCGAATGATGCGCAAGTCTGAAGAGTGCACGGAGAAACATGCCTCGGGTGGGACAGTCTGACGCGGTCTCGGAGGATACCAGCTGATTGATTGGCGCGTCGAGATGTATAAGTCGTCGAACTAACAGAGGGCGTGCAGTGGAACTCACGTCATCTAGAAGGTCAACGAAAATCTGGGCCTTTTCGTCAGTCAGAGACAAAATGTTTGCTTCGTCGTTCGCGAGTGATGTAGCGACATAGGCTCGAAGACATAGAAAACCGTCCTCGGCGGCGCTCGGAGAAGTCGAATCGATATCATGACGACATTTGCAGGTCGTACTGGCAGCTTCCTGGAATACAGTGACTACGAGCACTAGAGGGGCCATTGGTGAACCTACATCAGAAATGAAACTATCGAGGAAACGTTTCGTCGTGGGATAACGAAGGATCCAATCCAATTCGGACCTGTCAGAGCATAACCTTTTCAAGCCATCCTCGAGTTGACTCAGTTGTCTACTCGGAGCGCTGTAAGAGAACGAATCATCTCGCAAGATAAAACTCACAGTGAGTCTACAAGACAGATGGAAACGTGCGTGAAAGCGTCAAGAATCAAGTCCTGCGTCGAATGACATTATGTGTAGACGACTCTGCGAGTGGAAATGCGATGCAACTTACTGGACAGTAGGGAAAGTCGTCAACAAACCTTCTACAAAGTCCGAGTACTCGCTCGTCCTTGATGTGTTTCCTCGCCTTTTGCGAGACACGGTACTTTGCCGCATCCCGTGCGTCTCCGTAATGCGATGATGGATGGTTAAATGACATGATCGGTCCGTGGTCTTCCTCCAAAAACGAGGTGACCTCAACAGGGGAAATGTTGCGCTGGCTCATAAAGTCAGAGAAACTCGTATTGCCTTCGGAGCGACCAGGGCTGTCATTAAAACCAGCTCGGGACACGGGGGATGGAGGCGTATAAGGTATGACGAGGTCGGGGAGATGCGGTGTGGACCTTCCCGGGGGCGTCTGAGAAGGGCTTCTCTGCTGAATGGGAGAGCCGACGCCGAGCTTTCCGACGGCGTGAAGAATGTGATCATCGGGGGTTATGGTTAACTGAGATGATGATGGTTCGCGAGAAGAAGATGGCGAGAGCGGCGGTGAGGCACGGGGTGAAGAAGGTCCACATCCAGAAGAGTGAACGGCGCTCATGTGCTGGTCCAAAGACAGCTGTCGAGCAAATACGCCGCCACAATGAGCGCAAATCACGGGAGAGGTTGCAGGATGAGAGTGAACAAGGTGTTTTTGAAGCTTCTCCCGCGAAGTGCACGAATCTGAGCAGAATGGACAGGGAAGCCGGTGCTGCTGAGGAGAAGGAGGAGGAGAAGGAGGAAAAGGCTGGTGATTTTGTGTATGAGGAGGGTCCAGGTCAGAATGCATAGCACGCTTGTGACCCAAGAGGCCGTCGTCGGTCTGGAAAGACCTCTTGCAGCCTGAAACATTGCAAGGAAACGGAGATACGTTCCCTCCTGGATGCATCTTTGCTTTGTGCTCATTTACAAAGACATACCGTTAGACAGCGCACATGTGATGAACGTAGTCTACTCACTTCTTGTAGCTCAAAGTCCGTAGAGAAACTCGGCCTTCGGCCTCCGACGAGGCACTGACTGCATTTCGGCATCTGAGAAAAGCGTCGAGATGGTGAAAGGTAGAGAGAAATAACGTTCAAAGAAGAGCGTTGGTTGGGAAAGCTAGCTTCAACAGAGATTGGGGAACGAGGATGTTAAGCGCGCTCGTGGCCTGTTATGAGGCAGACCGTTCGATAAACATCTCCGCCGTAGATGGGGCCAGGGAGCGAACGCGTCAATTTCCGGTAGAAGCTAGCTGAAGTTCACAATCTATCCATTTTGAGCTGCCGATTTCTTATCAAGAGCTGTTCTCGCAACGGTCGAAAGCCAAGCCAGAATGTTCCGCACCGTGACGTCAATATGGCATCTCCGCGCTTTCGAGCTTCGATATTACACCCCGCGGAGTTCCCAAGCTCGAGAGCCCAATTTTCTGAAGTTTTATACCAGATGTTCATCAATAGACATAGCTGATCAGGTCGATCGAGACCCTGGAGAAGCGACGAGGCGAGCCATAGCCATGGAGAGTCAAGAGATCGTAAATCAGCCCAGATCAGAGTGAGTATCATGTGTTTCAATTGCAGCGAGGATCTAGACGAGAAGTGTAGGAGTACGTGAAAGAAGGTTGTTCGCAAGCTCCTGATGTTGCGGTTACGAGCTAAGAAAGAATTGTGGACGGAGATGTTTACTGGAGTTTGGTTACTTTTGGTGGCGTGGAAGATACCATTTCTAGTGCTTGGGTTTACTCGCATGCGTTGGTGTGGCGCAAAGTGTGCCCTACTAAAGTTCACCGTGGCGTTGCTAATTGCCCTGGAGATATGAGATGGAACATCTGAGTACAGAACGAACCAGAACTCTTGTAATCTCCGCGAGTCTGCTATGGCTTATCTGAGAGCGAACGCAAGCGGGCACGACTCCCGTTGTTGGATCAAGACTTCTTGTGGAGCTCCGCATCTTCGAATGGGATCAAGGTCGTAAACTGATCTCCATTAAAACTTGCTTCTCTCAGACTTCATCTTCGTTGCTGGAAGCTTGGCTATTTCATGAGAAATGTGGTTGCCGTCGGGAGAAGATCCGAGGCGCTGTGTCGGACTGAAAAGAGAAGTACTTGTTCCTTGATTTTGGAGCGTCTGGCTTGCCTCCGCATATCAGATGGTTCCTGAATTAAGGACATTCACGCGGAGAGCCTCGTTGCACACGTAGGTAGAGGAATCCCCCAGAGCTTGTCCAAGGAAGGGTGTGCCGTTTACTCGTATTGTCACAGCACATTATCTCTCAAAGTAATTTCTAATACTATCATCCAAAGATAAAACGATCGGAAAAGTAACATCATTTCATAAACTACAATAAATCTGCTTAGATATTATGTCTCTGAGATCCCTATGTCTTAGTTTACTTACTTCGACACCAATATACATTATCTGTGAGCTGAGAGAGAGCGGCAAGAGTGCTGCCCGCCTGTTCAGAAGAACGGCAATAACCTAGGTGTCAAGAATTTAATAATATATTTCGTGTCTGTACGTGTTACACAGAACAAAAGGAGATAAATACATGGAAGAAACCTCTAGCGCAGAGACCCTTGCGCCAATAGACGGTGGGATATGAACATTTGAGCATCGCGGAAATGCTGATTCATGCCTTGACGCGGACGCGTGATGAAACTCTGTTTATACTCCACATCAACCGCACACGGAAGCCTCGGGAGTATGGTGAGGAAGTGCACATCACGTGTATGGCTTTCCATCCGTTACGAAGTGGTAAATACCTTTTTGAAAACTCTGCAGGTGTACTGACGGAGTAAAAACCAAGGGATATAAGGTCAACGGCAGCACTGGAAGGTGTATGAATGGTTGGTGTTATCAATGTGATGAACGGTGAAGGTTCGACAAGGACTAAATGAAAAGAAGTCTCCAAACAACTGATGACTTACCATTAAAATATAACGGTTGCCTGGGGAGTATAGACACCTCCCGTAGCCGTCATAACATTTGGAGCAGCAGAGCATCTCAGTAACAAGGTGAGTGAACAAGCAAGGGGAACTGGTGGGGAAAATGTGATAGCAAAAAAATACAGTCTGCATGAGAACATGCTTTGATGCTGCAGACAATGAGAAAGTACAACGAGCCAAATTCGTCTCTAACCAACGTAATTATATCTACTACGCATACTCCAGTACAGCCCATCGTCAGACAATATGGTGCTAGGATGCGGAGCCCTGGCAAACCGCACAGAACTCACGAAGTCTGGCTCCCGGTCTCTGATATCGTCTTCGTAACATTGACGCAAGCTAAGGATCATCCATGGTCCAATGATATGGACAACGAAGCCCTGACCCATACCAACTACAGAGCCATATCCAATAGATATTGGATCAACCTAGAAACTTGGTCAGCTCGAACCAGAGTGCAATTGAAGAAATGTGACTGTTACAGGATTGAATACTTTGAGGCTCTCCATTATAGTCATAGACATTGCTACACTGGCTCTGAAAGTCCTGGTGAGATTAAGAGATTGATCATCAGATGGTCACATACGCAAAAAAGTAAAGTAGATTGTCTCTGATGAGGATGTTGGCTATTCCCTTTGTTGAGCTCATTAATGATTGTTGAGCGGTCTTGTCGAGATAATTTGCAATATAGTGCACAACTATAGCATTGAGAATGATCTCAAATGCCAGTACAGCACCACTACTGGCTGGACTTCTCCACGACATGTCTACTGGAATAAAGAGTGTGCACAAGGGTACTGTAGGGTAGCCGAGCCTTTGAGTGGCTGGACAAGGAAAATACGAGTTCGAAGGGGATCAAAGGCAGAGTGCCATGGCTGAACAGGAAGGTGGTCGGGTGCCAATTCGACGACTAACAGCTACGATACACGCAAGGTATTTATGCAATCAGAAAGCATTGTACTCTAAGCGGACAAAAGCGAGACAAAAGCGAGACAATAGATCTTGATCAAAGCAAGTGTCCATGCGTAGGCGCCATGCGCTCCTTACAGTACACCAGAATACTGCAGCATTTCTTTACCAGAAATAAGGTAAATTGGAAAATCCCATGTATATGGAAACAATGTCGCACCTGTCAACCCACGTCCAAGGGAAAGAACCCGAAATATACTTGCAGCACAGACACACTGAGTGATGGCAAAGCAAGATAGAAGAAATATGAGGACCCTCCTCAAATTTCCTAGAAGTGCATTGACTTGAAGAAGCATCATGCCTTCAAACGCCAATATTGAGACTCCATTAGTACAGCTGCCGATAACACGCATTTGAGATTTGACCTTGAAGAATGAACACTAGAATACCCGTATTGAGTTCATACATGACGGTGAGCACATAACCTGTGTGAGAAAATAAATCTTTATCCCAAACAGCAGAGAAACAGCTCACATCTGCATTATTGATTTGTAAGTTGTAAATCAATGATGCTGTGATTACATACCCCTGCATAGGTTTAAAAAACAAAGTAACATAATGGATGGTTACTCTGCCATCATCAGAAAGATAAGATAAGGTACCTACATCGTTTGATAGTGGTAGTAGTAACCACCATACTGAAAGGCGGAACGGTTATGCACAGTCCAAAGATGCGTACAGAAATGCTCACATAGATTGATACTGCACTCCGATAGATTCAAAGCGAGTCATAGTACGTCCGACCTATGAGCAGAATGTTGGAATTTCGAAGGCGAATGTGGGCGAAAATCGCTGGCAAACGCGCAGCGTTATCAATTCGAGAAGAACGGGTATAAGTACAGCGACATGATAGCTACCGATGTACTAAAACAGGCTAGATAACACGGAAGAGATAAGATAAGCGCTGCGAGCGCTGGCAGGTACGTGTATCGCATGGACTGACGCTCGTAACTACGAACGTGATCGTATCGTATTTCCAACACAGAAAACTTACAGAGCAACTACCATTGCTGCATAGCGCAGCTAAGTTAAGTTAGTATCACCTTGTAATAGCGAATAAGTTTGGCATGGCATACAATACCATAGATAACTGTTCCGAGGGTGACCTTTCGAGACCGAATACATTTGAGATAGGTCAAACACACACTAGACCATTAGCTTCAAGCTCACCCAAATGAGGTCTACCTAAGTTTCAATGACTATTGAATCAGCATGAGTCCAAAAAGATATGCTCGTAATCATATCACTTCAAGATCCAAATGGATGACTGAACAATGGATATTAGTTTCCGCTTCAGACTCAAAGGTAGAACATACGACAGTCTCAAAGCGTGATGGTAAAGGCTGCGGCTTCCATTGGTATCTTATCAATCTCAAGCCGAAGCACAGGGACGTAATGTAAACTGTCTATAGTTACCTGCCCAATAACTTCCAATATAGCGAGAAAGTACATCCTGAACACTAGTTTGCATTCTGATTGTATTGGGTGTTCAGCTCTGTACAGAATGGAGATAATCGAGGGTGTTGAGGAAAAATTGAGTGACAAGGGGCCTGTCTGAGTAACCTGCTACAAAGCTCCTTAAAAGGATGTCAAGGATACGGATCAAACAAGTGAAACATGCTTTGGATGTATTATTATCCGTTATCAACAGGTGATAAGTGGCACCGAATATGTACAAGGACCTTGTTTCCAGTACATACATGACTATAAGCGGTGGCCATAAATCTTCCGCAGTGATGGGCATCATGTCGATGGCTGTGAATTACGAGGGTGTATTAATAGTTGATTAATTGATTACACCTCACAAAGGAAGTGATAGAACATACTACAAAAATGAATCAACTGTAGCCTCGTTGAAATATACTTGCAGAAATAAGCTATCTGAAAGAACTACCAACTGCAAAATAGAGCAAGTGGTACATCACGATTTCATTGATCTATGCATTTCGAGATCTTCCAGAGGTTGTAGGCATTGTCACGCTAATTCAATATTCAGTCGTGAACGTGTTAACAGTGATGGGAGAACCAAAAGGACTGATTCATACGTCTGCTGAGCTATCCAAAAGCATCGGATGACACAGAGATCTGTTGCCCAACAGGCGATATCACGCAAATACACTTGATTCCTAGCTCTAGAGTTTCACTTGGCACAGTGCAGTGGTAGATTGTATAGCCTATGCGACAGAAAGGGCTACTTATTTCATACAAATTATCGATAAAACTGTTAGTAGCTGCAGGTCTCGGCATCTCACTCATTTATGCGGGTATCGAAGTATGGACTGAGAATTTGTGAGCCGAAAGCGACCAGCTAGACGTGCGTCATGTACATGGGGAGTGTGGGTCGTATGTACCTTGTGCCACGCTCATTCCGATCTAGAACCAGTCCAAAGCGCCACATTGTGCCCTGAAGGGATCAATCTGTGTACAAACCGCCTAAAGATATACGACGGTGAGTGTATCGCAGATTCATCGTCGTGATATAGACTGGGACGTCAAATGCAACTGCAGTCTTCAAAGGCCCCACGGACCAATATACAACTCATATATTCAAAATTATGGTAGGCTCTTCTTGACCTTTGTTTGACGTTTTGATATGGTGGGGGTTTCGTTTTCGAGCCATGCGTCAAGATCTTGGCCTGCAGGCTGCAGCGCTCATCTATCTCCTCTGGTTTGGGCTCCCGAAAGTGCACATAGAACATTAACTACCGGTGCTTTGTCGAATATAAGTACAATTGTCTATCGCGCGGTTTTCTTGCCCTCCGGCAAATTCCGAAACGCTGTAGCGGCGCGAGGGCCGGTTCTATCTTATAGCTGTTTACGATCAGTTTGCGATCATCAAACGAGTTATAGTTGAAGGCCTTCCCAAATTTCCCCGCTTTGTTACATGTTCGAGAACTAGGTCATATTTAGTATCGCTTTCGTCCTAATGACGCGTAAGTCGTTAAATCGGAAGGATTAGTCGGCTTCGGTACTCCTGCTTAAGTGTCAACGTAAACGTTCGTGCTTTTAGCAGGAATAATCCATCGCAAGGACGAGGCGCATAAGCTACCATTATGATTCATAGTAAGAAATTTTGAAGAGTAATATTGCATAACCAATTGACGCACGAATACTAGTTATTTTGAGTTGTGGGCGTCTCTGCCCTCAATCAAGTCATTTTACCCCACGTGTTCGTCAGAAACTGCCTTGTACATAGTTTCCTTATTGCCGAGCAAGTGGCTTACCTGGGGTAAAACCTCGTCGTTGCTTCGGGGTAAGCACTTGGCAAGCACCACATGAGAGAAGTGTGGCCAGCCGCAGCACGTAGTGTAAACGACATTTCAGCGCGGTGGAGTAGCCTGTGAGCGCTATCCGGACACTGAGGTTCGCATGGCTGGCGCTTATACACCAAACTTAGACCAAATCGTGCGCAAATGCATGCGGTCCAATGAGAAATACATCAGTAACAACAAGACATACACCCGTGCTGGAAACCGGTATCTGCAATTTTTCTACATCCGCTTATCCGACACACAACACCACGAAGGCATCGGCTCCCGATCCCAGCTCAGACGTACTTGGTCGTCACAGACCCATCGCTGTTGATCGTCGTCTGCGTGAGCGTCTGCCCGTTCTGCTGAATATCCATAACCGTCGCGCCGCTCGGGGTCACACTTCCGCTGCCCGTCGTCGCGCTCGCGCTCGTCCACGTCACCGTGCCAAAGTCCGCGAACGGCACGAGCGAGCTGCCCTCCTCGAAGTCCTCCACGATCCACTCCGCGTTCTCCTCGCAGAGCGCGGAGGAGGACGTGATGTCCTGCGTGACGGTCTGCCCCGACGTCGTGTTCTCGATCACGGCGGTGCCCGACGTCGTGGAGGATGCGGTGACGGTGAGCTTGACGACGTCGCCGGCGGAGAAGGAGATGCCGGAGAAGTCGTAGGACGCCGCGGGGTACCATTCGTACCAGGCTGGTGGAGGGGTTGTGTGAGCGTTATTTGGTGATTTGGAGGATAGATAGTGATAGCTCACCATCGTAGGAGACGTCACCGCCGCTGATGGTGAAGTCAACGCCAGTCTGGAGAATCGCGTTCGAGCAGGTGTCGCCGTCGATGCCAACCCAGGCAGACGCGGCGCCGTCCGAGCCAGAGGGAGTGGGAACGGTGAACGTGCCCGTCACGGCGGTGTATGTGCCCTAAATCAGTGGGGAGAATGGAGCATCAGCAACGCGTTTTCGTGTTAGGCGCTGATTGAAGAGATGCGTACATCACCCGACGCGTAGACAGCGCCAGCCCAGTTCTCGCTGTACTGCTCGTTCGAGACGTTGGTGCCGTCGACCTTGAGGACGGGCTGCGACTGGCGACCCTCACTGCGACGAGCAAGACGCTCGCCGAGACGAGACGAGGGGCGCGCGAGAGCGGCCGAGGCGAGGAGGAGGTTGGCGAGGAGCGTGAAGGTGTACATCGTGACTGGGGCTGGAGTAAAGAGGGTTGTGGAAGTGCTGGAGCGCTGCAAGACCAAGAGCCTGAGTAAATTTTCCGGGAGCCCCAGAGCCCTTTTATACGCTCCAAGAAGAAGCAAGGACAGTTAGCTCCAAGTGCCAACTGCGCGTCTGTACGTTGGTGCATCTGCACAGGTGAGAACGCGATCGGGGAAAACCATATGCTCCGAGCGGTCCATGACATCAAGCGGACGCTGATCTGCTGTGTCTTCTCTCGTTCAGAAGTGGCCTCAGAGGCAAAAATAACCGCAGGACAGACGAGGACCACTTGACAACCGAGCCGTTCGCCTTCGAGTGGCGGCAGCGAGCACATGAGCCAGACCTACCGTGGCTGTTTTTCTTCCGGCAGCTAGTCTGCTGGGGGATATTCTCGCCCAGGTCCATATGCAAGCAGCTATGAATAGCTCGAGGGCATGGTGGTCTGATCGCGCGAGGCGTGATTGAGTTCACAGAGAAAAGGCCGCTTGGGCCGAGTTGGGCAGTGTCGTGCGGGAGATGGACGTGTTTGGAGAAGAGAACGTTGTGTGTCCTTCACAAGCTTCACACGCGACCTCCCACGCGACCTTGAATTCGCACCACGACTTTGCATACTCAGACGGCCTGCATCAGCTTGCATCGCTCAAACATCGCCTCTCTGGCTTCTTTCTGCTCCTTCCATTCGAACTAAGGCTCTGTTCTAGCATCTCCAAGAAACCTGTATCTGGGCACGCAGCCTAGTATCGAAGACTTGCCAGGGTATGGGCGGAAATACCTCTATGTCTCATGGCTACGTGGAGTCCCAAACTAGGCCTGCGGCACGCCGGCGCCCCCATCGCCTCGCAGTTCACAGCTGCAGGGTCTGTCAATCAGAAACAACAGACGCGTAGGCTATCTTGGGTACACGGTTCCATACAGTGCGTCTTGTGACGGCCTCCTTATCTGTGTGCTTTGATCCCGCAGCACCCGATAACACGCTTTCTGTGGGGATTGGCTCGGTTCCTGTGGTTTGCGCTTGAGGGTTTCTCTTTCTCTGTCGCTACGATCTGGGTGGTAAAACCAAGAAAACGACGGCGACGGAAGGAGTGGCTGGTGCCCACCTATCCTTTCCCTGCACCTACGCAAGTCAAAGGCTGCTCTTGGCATACCACCGTTCTCTCCACAGGTCTCCCTATCCCTTGCGCTGCAATGCGCTAGCAGCACAGAAAGGCTCCCTGTGCCAGAATCTGCGTTTACCGACCTCAGCCATCTCCATCTCTCCCCCGTCCTACCCCGCTTCGCTCACCGACAGCCAAGACTTCATCCTAACCTCCGAGCAAAGCTTCTCGAGCTAATCACACCCCGCACTCGATTCGTCTCCCGATTGCCCTCGGTGCCTAGATCGCGGATAGACTTGTGCGATAAGGTACATTCATATAACAGTCCTGCCCGAGTGCACGGAGTGCCCTAACGCGTCTAGGGATCTTCAGGTTCAGGGCGGAAAGGTACGCTTGCTGCGGCCTCACGCCTGGGCTCGTCGAGAACGCTCTTGAACGTCCGTGCGCCGAGAACAACGTTTTGTGAGTCGTGACTTTGTTTTCAGGGGTCAGGTACCACGTAAGCATGGGAATGACCGAGCAAAATGTGTGGATAGTGAGTTACTGCTGGATAACTCACTGTTAGCAATGATGTGTATGACGCGATGGAGGTTAACGTTCCAGTGCACGCCGAAGACTGTACTGCATAAAGGCTACTCTTGAGGCGTATGGGCAACTCAGGAAATCTTCAGTGGTCCAACCTATCACGAAGGGACCATCGTTAACTGGTGCTCTTGCTTTTCATGGAGTCCTCTTTGCTGTGAACGAAAATCTCCCTCTTGCTATCTCATGCCTCTATGTCCAAAGACTATCGTAAACTGGATAGTGAGTCCTTCACAGCAGTTTTGTCAGTTCCCCAGCTCGGATTTGTAGTTAGTGTCGTTGTATCTTCACATAAAGCACGCAGATCCTGTTTGGGTAAATGACACGTATAGGACGATTTGCAAGCTGGAGTCTCAGTCGTCAACTATCATAGCGCAGAACAATTGGTGAGATGGAGATAAGCGCAAGTTCGCGACATTGCGAACGTAGCAATAGACACCGAGGTAGAGTTATGGAAGCGCTATCTCGGGTGGTCCGTTGTCTAAGAGCTGTCCAAGAACATATACCCAGCGCTCTAGATCCAGACATAATCCCTCTGGTCAAAATATGTGTCCTCTCCAGAACATAAGCCAGTCGTAATTACGCCGGTGAGTGCAGAAATGACGTCCTCTCAACTTCCGAAGGGATCCGAGGGCTCGGGAGTTGCCGCGCCGGCCTGACAAATTTGAGCGCACGCACAGTCCCGACCCGTCCGCTCCCTTGTGTCTCTTCTATCCATAACCACCACCTTCACCTCGTCCCTCTACCCCAACTCACAAAAATGCTCGCCCGCACCGCCCTCCGCAGCGTCGCCTCCACCAGCCGCGCGTCCGCCTTCTCCACCTCGGCCGCGCGCCTGACCAGGGTCGCCGTGCTCGGCGCCGGCGGAGGCATTGGCCAGCCGCTCTCGCTCCTCCTCAAGAGCGACGCGCTCGTCAGCTCGCTGAGTCTGTACGATATCCGCGGCGCCCCCGGTGTCGCTGCCGACGTGAGCCACATTGATACCGCTAGCGAGGTGCGTGCTTTTCTGTGTTATATAAGGTGGAATGAGAGCTAACTTGGGCTTTCCTTTGTTCCTTTGTTCCTTGATGCATGGTCTGCTGTGCTGTCTCTACTGGCTCATTCTACGTATGCGACGCTGCTGGAACTACGTGGTCATCGATGGCATCGTGCGGTCTTTATGGGTTGCGTGGTATTTTCGTATGCAACGTGGGTGTATGCGGAAATAGGTCAACGGCTACGCCGCCGACAAGATCGACGAGGCCCTTGAGGGTGCCCAGGTCGTCGTTATCCCCGCTGGTGTCCCCCGCAAGGTGTGTATTATACTCTTCATTGCCATGATGAGACCTATAACTAAACTCCGTTTCAGCCCGGTGTAAGTACCTAACCTCCGCATATCCCTCATGGTTCGTTCTAATGTCGCAATCTGTCACGCTCAGATGACCCGTGATGACCTCTTCAACGTACGTCTCCCCGGATATACTCGCTCACACAACCTTGCCATACTCACATCTTCGTCTTTTGCAGACCAACGCCTCCATTGTCCGTGACCTTGCCGCCTCGATCGGCCGGGTCGCTCCCACCGCACACATCCTCGTCATCTCCAACCCCGTCAACTCAACCGTGCCCATCGTCGCACGCACGCTCGAGAAGGCCGGCGTCTTCGACCCCAAGCGCGTCTTCGGTGTCACCACGCTCGACGTCGTCCGCGCCGCGCGCTTCACCGCCGGCATCGCCGGCGTCAAGCCCGAGCAGACGCCCGTCACCGTCGTCGGCGGACACAGCGGCGCGACGATCGTGCCCCTTCTCTCGCAGAACGAGCACGGCAAGGCGATCTCGGGCGACGTGTACGAGAAGCTCGTGCACCGGATCCAGTTTGGCGGCGACGAGGTCGTCAAGGCCAAGGATGGCGCCGGGTCCGCGACGCTCTCGATGGCGTACGCCGGTGCCAAGTTCACCAATGCGCTGCTCCGCGGTTTGAACGGCGAGCAGGGCGTGATTACGCCTACGTTCGTGCGCAGCCCGCTGTTCGAGGACAAGGGCGTCGACTTCTTCAGCTCGCTCGTTGAGCTTGGCCCTGAGGGTGTGCAGAAGATTCTGCCCCTCGGCCAGCTCAGCGCTGAGGAGCAGAAGCTCCTCGACGCGTGCCTTCCTGAGCTCAAGAAGAACATCGAGAAGGGTTTGGCTTTCGTTGCTTAAGTGCATCGTAGATAGGCTAGGAGGGGGTAGCACGTATTCTAGATGTGCTTTTTGCTGGTGGCTCTACTGTTTTTTTCTAGATTAACATAATGGTTTTTCTAAACTCGTATGTGTGAGAGTTGTAAGATGTGAACGCGAAGAATCGAACGACATACGAGCAAAACATCGTCATCGTCGCCCCTTCTTTTTGACCGTCGTGAACCCGTCTTCGTCCACCTCTGGCTCCTCTTTCTCCTTCGGTCTCAGCTGCGGGGCCTCCCCGCCATCGCCGAACCGATCCACCTGCATCCCACTTCCCTCGCCTCCCTCGCCATCGTCGGACTCTTCGGACCCATCGTCGTCCGACCAGTCGTCGTCGTCGTCGTTGTCGCCTGCGCCCTGTGTATACGTCGGCATCTTGCCAGCTAAGCGATCCGCTTGAGCTTCAAGCGCGAGGACCGAGTCTTCGCCTGGAGCTTTTCCCGCGAACGATGACGACGACGACGATGATGACGATGAAGCGGGATGAGGACCAGAAGGATAAGGATAAGGGTAAGGGTAAGGGTGCGTGTCGTTCCAGAGACGGAGGACGTCGCGTGCGACGGACGCGGCGCTGTCGTCTTCGAGGCGCGTGTCGAATTCGTCGTCGAGGATCTGGAGGAGGAGGTCTTCGAGGTAGGATGCGTCGGGTGTTTGGGGTTTGGCCGGAGCTGGGGGTGCGGGTGCGGGTGCGGGTGCGGGTGCGCCAGTTCGCGATGCGGAGCCTGCTGGAGATCGATGATAGAACCATGAGGATGTTAGCATAGTGTAATGCAATGACGCGCAAACATGAAGGGATGTTTGAGTTGTGGTAGCAGCGCCGGGCTGAGCATACGTACCTGCAGGGAGCGGTGGAGGAGCGGGGGGAGCAGCAGCGGGCTCCTCGAATTCGTCGACGAGGACGCCCGCGAGCCAGCGCTGCTTCTCGCGCGAGCTCGGGCCGCCCCAGCTGTTCGCGACGGCGATGCGGAGCGCGGGCCAGATGGAGAGACGGGCGATGACGCCGCGCGCGAAGAGGACTGTTGCAGGCGATGGGGGCGCAGGGGGTTGGGCTTGGGCTTGGGCGGATGACATGGGCTGATGAGATAGGAGGATTGGGAGGAATTTATTGGCTGGGCTCGTCGCTGGGGAAACTGGGAGGTGAAGATGAGGTTGAAGGGGATTAGACCTGGTTAGATTGGGAAGTGTGATCAAAGATCGAGGCGCGGAAGGTGAAAACTTGATCCATCTTAGCGCGCGATCATCTTATCAGATACCGCCTGCTGTCCGTCGCTTGGTTGTCCAGACATACACTCTCATACTCACTCCTCGCAGCGACGAATGTAAACGGTAGGCAAAAGCCCAGAGACTTAGCGTAAACCCATCTTAATCGACAAGGTCAGCTAGCGTAAATCTAGCGTCCTAAGCTTTGGTATTACTGCCTAATGACTAGGTCCCTCGTCTGATCCGAACATTATATGCGCGCCTATCTCGCCTTCCAAGGGACACAGAAACACATGCTGACTCGGTCAGTGGATTTGACACTCGGTGGGTAAGAGTGTTCGGGCGGCGAGGCGGGCCCAAGCCCTGATTGACCGCCATGGGGAGCGGAGGCAGCATTGGCGTCCCCTTCTTCGTCACTCTCTAACTCCACATCTTCTGCACTGTCTTGGCTGCTCCGTGGTTCTGGAACATGGAAAAGACGCTGGACGATGTCAGTTGAAAGGGCACAAAGACCACACACCGAGCACTTTATGCGCACCTCTTTGGCTTTGGCAGTGTATACAGGAACGATGCGGCGTAACTTGGACAGGTGCGCAGTTGAGAAGAAACCCCCTCCGGATCCCGAGTTGCTCTCGGACTGCGCGCGCTGTGCGCCGGCAAGTCCAAAGATCCTCTTGAGAGCGACCGCTACTCCAGGACCTTCGCGTGCATGCTGTGGTTCCGGTTGTCCCGTCTGACGGCGGTGGGGTGACGAGCTTTCACCTTGGGTGCCGAGTGGACGTCTGCTACTATCTTCGGGTCTCTGCCTTCGCAACGTTGCAGGGAGCTGGAAAATGGTTTGTGAATGTCAAAATCCAAGGGCGATGCAGCTCACGTTCATGAAACTCTGGTCAGAATTACGAGACCTTGGCTGAAAATTATGTTTTCAAAGTCTGTACACCCGTGATTTGACTAGATCACCTACCCTTCGCTCGGCCGCTGTTTTGGCTTCATGAGCAGCACTATCGTCTTCAACCTCCTCAGATCCCTGATGCCATTAGGTTGCTGCTGATATGGAGGTAAACTCAGCACGTACCTTGCCCAAGAGCAGCTTTCCACGATCTACCTTCCACACTCTGGCATACCCATCCTCTGTTCCACTTGCGATCCGCGACCCATCCGACGAAAACGCGGCTCCAGAAACCACTCCTTCGTGCTCAAGAGACCGACGAAGCTCGCCGGTACCCGCATCCCAAATGCGAAGCTTGCCCCCCGAGACACTCAAGAACGTCCCGCCATCAGGTGCATACTGCACACAGCGCATCATGGTGCCGCCCGTATCGACCTTAAGCGCCTCCTCCCCGCTCGATATCCGCCACACCCGCACAGTTCCATCCAGAGAGCCGCTAAGGACGTATCTCCCATCGGGCGACCAGCACACAGACGATACAGAAAAGCAGTGGTCATACGGCCCCGCTATCAGAATGCCTGTGTGCGCGTCCCAAACGCGCACCGTGTTGTCCTCTGACCCGCTTGCGAGCTTTGAGCCGTCGGGAGACACGCTGATGGTGCGGACGGGCCGATCGTGCGCCTGTATAACACGGAGTATGCGACCGCTCTGCGCGTCCCATACGCGTATTGTGCCGTCTCGACTCGCACTGACAACATTGGAACCGTTGGGCGTAAATTCAACAGCCGTAGCTTCTTCGGTGTGCCCTTTGAGCGGATCCATGACTAGCGTCTTCGTGTCTGTGTCCCATAGACAGATCGTCCGATCGTCAGAGCTGCTAGCTAACATCGAGCCGTCGGGAGAGATGTCGATGGAGGTGACATTGCCTGTGTGATGGGAAAATGCGTCGAGCGAGTCGTCTCCCGTCTTTGCATTCCATAACTTGACGGCGTGGTCTTCGCCCGCACTCACAAAGCGAGATCCGTCGGCGAACCATGCGAATGAGGTGATTGGCCAGCATGCGTACATTCTGCGTAGTGATGTGATCACCAAGTAACATCAGGAATGGTAGGCTGTACTTACAAGTCGCCTTTAGGAAGCTTCTTATCGGGGCCCTAGACGTAGCAAGAAATTCGTTAGTGACTTTCGAGGGGCATTTAGATCACTCACTTTGGGAAGGATAAGTGCACTCGATGTAATATCCCGAATACACAAGCTACGATCTTTTCCACAGACAACTGTACGCGCAACAGGAGAGACTGAGATCCGCCTGATAGATTCAGCGCTATAAATCGGACCCCACACGCAGTCGCCTGTTGTTGGATCCCAAGCGCACATACTCCTATCTACCGAAGCGCTGATCAGCAGCTGTCCGTCCGACGCAAACGCGAGATCCGTGATGGCAAGTTTGTGGCCCTTTAGAGGGCCTTTGACAAGTTGCCCACTGCCGGTGTCCCAAACACAGACAGTCCAATCGCGACTACCGCTGGCCAGCAAACGGCCGTCCGGAGAATAAGCCACCACCCACACTTCAGACTTGTGTCCTGCGAGAGGCGGATAAGCGAGCTCCTGCGAAGCCACGTCCCATACGCGTACGAGCCTGTCGTCGCATGCGGTTGCGACGTGTTTTCCGCAGGGCGAAAACGCCGCACGGCTGAGCGCCGCCGGGTGCTCGAGAGCGGTAGTGCACTCTCCCGATTCTGCGCCCCATAGCCGGAGTAGCCGGTCCTCTGACGTACTCGCGATGAGCTGTCCGTCGGGGGAGTATTGGACCGAGGAAACGAGTTCCGTGTGCCCTTCCAGAGGGCCTAAGACGCATGTATGCGCCTTGCTGTCCCAGACACGAAGCGTCTTGTCCTCTGAAGCGCTAACGATACGATTACCATCGGGGGAGAATGCGACGGCGCTGACCAGCTTGTCGTGGCTTTCTAGAGGACTTCCGACTTCCATGCCTGTGCGCGAGTTCCATATCCTGATTGTCTTGTCCTCCGATCCCGAAGCAATGAAGTCGCCGTCGGGGGAGTAAGCGACTGCGCAAACGATGCCAGAGTGGCCCTCGAAAAGTTTCGGGATTCCTTCGGAATTCAGAGGCGGGTCTATGGAGGGCATCTGGGGACAAGAACAAAGAATGAGCGAGTAGAAAGAGCCTAAGAGGGAGGGCGCTCACCGTGATAGTCGCTATGAAACGTATGCTCTGCTGTAAATGCACTAAGCCTGCGTCAAATTTGGCGTTTGAAGCAGCGGAGACCTCGCGTGCTAGTCGTCCGGCTTGGTCCGACTTTATGCGCTCGCGATCGACCCAATCAACGCCCTACTTCACCCTCAGGCTGAAGCAGAGCTGTAAGATGACATGTATCCGGCTCTGGTCTTCCATGGTCAAATACAACATGATGATATGACCGTTCTTGATGTTAGAGGCATGATGCATGTGCATGAGCGAGGATGACATAAGAGTTTGGCATGAGCTGGCGGAAAGCCGTCGGAACTTGAAGTATCGTCGGTAACTGCCGGAATGTTTTAAATCCCCCTTCGACTGAAGCGAGAGAGAGAGAGAGAGAGATTTCTATATTTATACCCCGCGTCAAACGCGTGGTCACGTTAAGTAGCGGCTAGGTGAAGGTGTAAGGTAGTCGGGTGCTAGTATGAAGTTGTATCGATGTAGAGAAGTAGTATGCTATGTAGGTACTCTTGTAGTTGTGGGGTATATTATGATATCGGCGGTTTGGCCATCTGCGTCTGGCGTATTACGATGCGAGGGGGGACATATGTACTAGTAAGGATCCGAGACGTATGTAACATAGAGAAAAGGAGAGGGGGAAAAGGAGAAATCTAAATCTGCGAGTGCTCCTCTGGATACGGAGAGCGTCTAAGGTGTGGCAAAAGGGTCCTCATCATCCTCCTCGGTAGTGCTGGTGGCCTTCCGGAAGGCTTTGGTTTTCTTTAGGAATTTGGCGAGGCCTTTGAGTCCCTTCTTGGTGCCCAGAACGTCTGTAAGGGCGATG